CTCACGGCAGGGACCTCCGAGCCCAGCAGCCACAGAGGGGTCCCCTCTCTCACGTGCTCACCCCCCGTCGGGCACCGTGCAGGACCTTGTGTGTAAGACTGTGGCCCTCAGACACCCATCGTCCAGGGGGGCACGTTGAGGCTCCAAGGACTGAAGGGCCCCACTCGAAGGTCAGGGGCTCTCAGGAGGGATGGGACCCGGACGTCTGAGTCTCAGAGGAGCAGATGCACTCACCTCCGTCCGCGCCCATGGGGAATGGGCCAGGGGCCTATGGCACAGGAGCCATGGCCTGCAGGAAGGACAGAAATGCCCAGGACACGGTCTCCCTGCACCTGGCAGCCCCACCTCCACCTGCCCAGCGTCTGCGCTCCTTTGTCCAGGTGGGAGCTGCTGCATCTCCCATGGAGACCCCGGGGCAGTCCCACTCGCCCCCGCCCCTATGCACCTGCTCCATTCCTGCACACAGATGCAAAGCCAATGGACACCCTGGCTGTCTGGGTGACCCCATCCCCCATGGGTGAGTCCCTTACCATCAAGAGGTCCTTCAAAGGCAGTCTTCTTGCTGGTGCAGATCAGGTTTCTGGGGCTTCTTTGGATCCTAAACCTTGCAGAGCCACCCGGACTGGGCAGTAGTTACCTGTGCAGGGGAGAGAGGAGAACGCACTGCCACCACCCCTCCCCTGCAAACATGGGAGACCACAACTGAGAATCCCCCCAGGCTCCATCTCGCAGTAACAACCCTTTCTCCCGCCCCCGTGTAGACAGCACCTGTCCCACCTGACAGCCTTCTCAGCTTGGGCCAGGAGCCGCCATGGACACCTCCTGCCCCACTCTGCTGAGGGACGCAAGAGCCACTGGGGATACAGAGGGCTTGGGGGGCCGCAGTAAGTCCCTGCCCCAGGACGTCCCCATCCAGAATGCGATCCTGGCCTCGGGATTCTTCTCCCTCTCCCGGGGCTCCCAGGAAGGGAGACGAGTGGTGCACAAATGAAAATGCAACAACAGAAATCAAATGAACAGAAACCAAAACACAAAAATGAACAAACTCACTCTGCTCCTGTTACCAACAGAAACCATGAACTGTAAATACTACACCATACCAGCCACGGAGACTGTTCTAGTGGAATAAAATGTTAAAATGGAAAACACAAAATGAATATGAATGGTGGCAGGAAACAAAAGTAATAGAAAAATTACAAAGTCATCAAAATGGAAAAAGAAAAAACAAATTTGACCAAACAGGAGCAGCAGGATCCGATTCTTCCTCCGGATTCCACTCCCTCACCAGGGTTCTCCCAGGAACGGTCAGCAGGGCTGACGTCTGGGAGACCCTGAGCCAGCAGCTGACACAGATCAGCTCTCACGGCTCAGACTACTTGAGCACAAAAGAAGATGAAACAAACAGAAATCAAATGAACATAAGACAAAACAAAATGGACAAAGCTCACATCACCAACAGAAAACATGAACTAAATGAACTCAACTAGACTCACAACTGAGACTACCCTATCGAAACAGTTAAAAGTGAGAAACCACAAAAAAGGAATAAAGCATAAAGAAAAAAATCTCAAGAATTAACTGTAGTAACAAGCAAGCAGACGACTCACAGTCTTATTTAAAAAAGGGACTAAAAATGAGAAAAAAAACCTGAAAGTGAGCAAAGGGAAACCCAATACTGGGAGAAAATATAAAGAACAACCACAAACAAGAGAAAAGCCAATGAAAAAAGTGAAGAGAAAATCCAAATAGAAATGAGATATCCTAGGAAAATCAATAAGAAAGGGAAAAAGAATATGAATACTGGAGGAAATCAAAATAAATAAAATAGAAAAAAAGAAAATAATCAAAACACAAAAAAAACAACAACAGCTTGAAGAACAAAAACCAAACAAGGGAAACTCAGGCAGCTGTTCCCAGCCCCAGGTCACCGGGACAGCGCTTCCTGGGCAAATGACAGAACCCAGGCCCAGCCAAGGCTTTGTGCAGGCAGCAGGCATGACGTCACAATGGCGCCTTCTGATGTCAGAGCAGGAAACCACAGCAGGTGCTGCCCCACGCTGGTTTGCACAGGAACCTTTCCACTAAAAAAAAGAAAAGAGAAATTCTTTCTTAGGTTGAAGAGAGTGATATTAGTTTTTTGAGAAATTAAACCCTGTAGGATATTTTGAAACCTTTTCATTTCTAGTCTTAGCATCTTTCATAATTTTGCCTTTTGCAGACTCAATGTATCCACTCCTTTCTCTTCAACCCCTGAATGATCGCCTCAAACCATGGTGCAGCGTCACTGGCATCGCAACACTACATCAAATGTTCTGTCACTCAAGTCAGCGGTGCTGTGACGGAGCTGTAAAGCCACGGCTCACGGGGCCTGCGTCCCGAACGAGTGTCTGTTCAGGTCCCAGCTGCTCCACTTTTAGTTTTAAAGGGATTTCTTTATTTATTCGAAGGCAGATGGAGAAGGACAGAGAGGGAGACAGAGAAGGTCCCCGTGTTAGCACCACAAACTCTGTGCACAGCAGGAGCCACAGCAAACGTGACTGACCTGGGCCACCCCACAGGCTACCAGTGTGCAACCTGGTGGGGAAACCTTTCCTAAAGAGGCTGCAGGGGGGGCTCCTACAGGCCCTGGTGTCCCAGATCTCAGGGGAGACCCCAGCACAGCCTCTGTCTGCCCTGAGGACTCCCCTATGGGCTCATCCACTGCTGGGAGCTTCGCAGCCATAACCTCACTCCCTCTCTGCTGCCCATGGCCCTGGCCCCTCCTGCCAGAACTGGGCGAAGGAGTCACAGCACCCGGGCCACCAGCGCAGCCCAGAGCTCAGGCCTTCCCTTGGGCTTTGCATGGACCTCGAGGCCCCGGCAGCACCCGTTCTCCTGAGATCCCCGCAGTCCACGTGGGTGTAAGAGGGGACTGGGCTTGACCAAGGAGAAACAAAACTGGGGCCTAATCAGGGGTCCTGCTGCCCCTGCCCCAAGAGGACGCCCACAGCCCCAGTTTGCACTTCCCTGTGCCCAAACCCACACCCCACATAACCCGCACACTACCCAGGGCCCAGGTTCAACATTTCCTGGGACCTCTGCGAGTCAATAGAAAACATTCCTGATATTTAACACCTGGATCCTCAAGGGGAGATGCCCAGGACTCTGTGGCTTCCAGCCAGCAGGTGGTTCTAATCCCGGAGGGGTGTGGGAGGAGCCACCGGCTGCCACAGCCCCTTCAGTGTGCAGCTGGTCAGAGCACGCCTGTGTCAGGGGCAGCCCCCAGAGCCCCACCACCCAGCCACGCGAGCCCTCTTGGTTTTCACAGTCCACAGCACGGATCCGCAGAGGCTCTGAGGACGCCTGACAGTGGTCCTTGTCCCCTGCCCCACATGGAAGCCTCCAGAACCCAGAAATCCCAGACCCCACCTCTCCCCCACCTCTGCATCCAGCAATGTCCCCAGAGGATTCAGAATCGTCATGCCACAGTTCCCGGGAGCCAAAGGGAGGGTGCAAAGGAGGGGGTCTGTCAGAGGAAGGGGCTCACCTGTGATGGCAGCTGCCAAGTCCCAGGGGCAGCCGTCTGCCAAGTAGGAAACCAGGAGAGCTGGGAGCAGGTGCACACCGAGTCCGCAGGACCCAGGACCAGGACCCAGCAGGTGCCGGGTTCTTCTAGGTCTCAGGCTGCAGCTGGGAGTCCCAGGTCACTGGTGCGAGTTCGGGAGTGAAAAAGCCACAGCGCCAGGGGCTCTGAGCCCTGAGGGGGAGCACTGAGACGCGCAGGCTCCATGAGAGCCCCAACCCCACGCTGCCCTGTGGCCCTGTTCTCTCCGAGTTCTGGGCAAGCTGGGTGGTGCTGCCCACGGTGAGGGCGGCTCCCCACGGTGTTGGACACGCTCATCTGGACTCCACAGAAATTCACAGACACCCTGGGTCGAACAGTCTTTCCCATTCTGGGCAGGAGAGGGGGGCTCAGCACCTGCAGGTGCTCTGAGGCTCCACCCTGTTTCCGGCTCCCCCTGCCTCCCCAGATCCAGTCATTGGTTGTCCGGAACAACCGTCCCAGTACACCAGCCAGGGTCAACCAGAGTCACAGAACGGAGTTTCTAAAACAAGGCTTTGTATTCCGATTTCAGAATTCAATTAAACGTCACCCAGCCACCTCTTTCTACCTCTAGACAGAAGACAACCTCACGGGAAGCCTTACCAGATGTTAAATAAAATTCATGGGAAGCCACGGACTGGATAAGGGACATACACTGAGCCCAAAGACCCAACTCAGATGGCTTCATCCAGGCACTGTGCTGTGGCTGAGGCACAGGCCCTGTATCCAGTTCACTAATTAGGCTGTGAGCAATTAAATAGTAAGAGGTGCTCGACTGGCAGGTGTGGGGACTGAACTGGAGCCCCGGTGCTGATCGCCCCACCTCACTTCCTGTTGTCCAGCAATGCTGTAGCACCTGTCATGGAGTGGGGTCCTCAGCACCTGCTCCAGTTCTGGGAGCTGCCTGACTCATGACCATTTCTCTGTGATAATGCTGTCTTCACATGGACTCCACTACTAAGGCCTAAGGAGCTTCCTTCAGCCCCGGGAAAGAGTTGTCTCTGAACCTGAGCCCTGAGCCAGGTCCTGGCATCTGCTCCCGGATGCTGACACCCAGGGCTCTGACCCCAGGGCTCCCAGGTCAGGGGAGGAACAGAGGCCACCTGGACTGGATAGGAACAGAGGACAAAGAAGGGGATAGAGAGACCTCGGGGGCTCCCAATGTGGAGGGACAGAGAGGCAAGGAGAAGGGGCAAGGACAAAGGAAAGGCCAGTGGGGGTCACAGGAAGGAGCCAGCTCCCCACAGCCCAGGACCCACAGATGCTGGCAGCTCCCAGAACCCCGCCCAGGCAGCCAATGGCCTGTAAGGACCGAGCCGTACCCAGCAACCAGGGGAGTCTGCTGCCATTCCGGGGGCTTCCTTGGAGGCAGGTGCTCCTGACACTCACACCCCCTTGACAGAGCCAGAAACAGAGCCCCAGGGGGTTTATTTATTGATTTATTTATTGATTGATTATTTATTTATTGATGTAATTGATTTCTGTCTAACTCATAAATCTGTTCGTTGCAGGCACAGAGGCAGTAGTACAGGGCAATACATGGGCACCAACAGAGGCAACGAGGTTCTTCCCAGGCAGCAGCTGCTCCCCAGAGATGGAGCAGCCACGGGGTCCTGTCCTTGGGGTAGTGAGGACGAGGGACATTCAACACCTCTCCTGGAAGGGCGAGGATTCTAAGCTGGGCATCCTGGAGTCCATCTTCGAGAGGACGGTTGTGTAACATGGGGGCAGCCAGAGAAGCCACGGGGTCCTGTCCTTGGGGCACTGAGGATGAGGACATTCAACACCTGTTCAGGAAGGGCGAGGATTCTGAAGCTGGGCATCTCAGAGTCCATCTTCCGGTGGACAATCATTGGGGCAGCCAGAGGTGCCACAGGGTCCTGTCCTGGGGGCAGCGAGGACAAGGGACACTCAACACCTCTTCAGGAAGGGCGAGGATTCTGAGCTGGGCGTCTCGGAGTCCATCTTCCTATGGACGATCATGGTGACCTGTGGGCAGGGAGAGAAGCTTGGGGTCAAGTCCTTGGGGCACCGAGGAAGAAGGACACTCTACTCCTGGAGACCACTGGGGCAAGGATTCTGAAGCTGGAAGTCTTGGCGTCCGTCTTCCCACGGAAGATGGGGAGACCTGGGTCACCAGAGACATAGCTCTGCTGCAGCATCTGCCGTGTAGACCCTTTGGTCACCCCAGGGCCCTCTTGGATTAGAGAGGTCAGAGAGCTGGGCAGGGACAAGCTGACAAGGGGAGAACACGGGCCCTGTCACACCGTGGCCTGGTCCCTGGTTCCTGTCCCATTGAGACCCCAGGGCACCCTGACTGGTTTCAAGGCCACAGACCAGCAGGGAGGTGGTAGGTGCCTCATCCAAGCCAGAGCAGATGACCACCCTGGGGCTCAGCCCTGCGAGAACAGACACGGGGAGGCAGTGCTGGCAGCACAGAGCTGTAGTGATGCCAGCACCCCTTCCAGGCCCCAGCACAGCCCCGGCTGCTGGCCTGGTCAACAGTTCATGGCAGGGACCTCCAAGCCTGGCAGCCACAGAGGGGTCCCCTCTCTCACGTGCTCACCCCCCGTCGGGCACCATGCAGGACCTGGTGTGCAAGACTCATGGGGCCACTGTGGCCCTCAGAGACACCCATCTCCCAGGGGGGCACGTTGAGGCTCCAAGGACTGAAGGGCCCGACTCGAAGGTCAGGGGCTCTCAGGAGGGACGGGACCCGGACATCTGAGTCTCAGAGGAGCAGATGCCCTCCCCTCCATCCGCGCCCATGGGGAATGGGCCAGGGGCCAACGGCACAGGAGCCATGGCCTGCAGGAAGGACAGAAACGCCCAGGACACGGTCTCCCTGCACCTGGCAGCCCCACCTCCACCTGCCCAGCGTCTGCGCTCCCTTGTCCAGGTGGGAGCTGCTGCATCTCCCATGGAGACCCGGGGCAGTCTGTCTGTCCTGAGGATGGGATGGTGGTGAGGATGCTCCTAGGCGCTCGGCCACACTGCCTGGCCCAGGGCTGGGGCAGCAGGGCAAGGATGAGCAGTGCCGAGACCTCGGCTCCACGTCTCAGGAGAGGGACCCCCGGCTGCTGCAGCCTGGGGCCTGTCAGGAGCTGCCGCGGCCTCTCCCCTCCTTAGACCCTGGTACAGAGCTGCACACAGCAAGCCCACGCGGTATGGCTCATGCTGCTGGAACCTCCAGAACCTGCAGGGGTGATCCCACAGTCCCTCTGCACTCTCCCCTGACCAAAGAGGGCCCATGGGCATCAGTGTGAGTCCTTCCCCCCTCCTCTATGCACCTGCTCCATTCCTGCACACAGATGCAAAGCCAATGGACACCCTGTCTGTCTGGGGTGACCAAGCCCCACTGTGGGTGAGTCCCTTACCACCAAGAGGTCCTTCCACAGGAAGTCTTCTTGCTGGTGCAGATCAGGTTCCTGGGGCTTCTTTGGTCTTGGAACCTTGGCGAGCCAGGGCAAACAGGGCAGCAGAGCACCTGTGCACAGGACAGAGGTGCCCGCACTGCCACTACCCCTCCCCTGCAGTCAGAGGCGCCGTAGCTGAGTCCCCCGCAGGCTGAATCTCCCAGTAAAAACCCTTTCTCCCACCCCCGTGCAGACAGCCCCTGTCCCACCTGACAGCCTTCTCAGCTCGGGCCAGGAGCCGCCATGGACACCTCCTGCCCCGCTCTGCTGAGGGACGCGGGAGCCACTGGGGACACAGAGGGCTTGGGGGACCGGCAGTCAGTCCCGCCCCAGGAAGTCCCCATCCAGGATGCGATTCTGGCCTCGGGATTCGTCTCCCTCTCCCGGGGCTCCCAGGAAGGGAGACGAGTGGTGCACAAATGAAAATGCAACAACAGAAATCAAATGAACAGAAATCAAAACACAAAAATGAACAAACTCACTCTGCTCCCGTTACCAACAGAAAACATGAACTGTATCCACTACACAACACCAACAACAGAGACTGTTCTATGGAATAAAATGTTAAAATGAGAAAACACAAAATGAACATGAATGGTGGCAGGAAACAAAAAGTACAAAGTAATCAAAATGGAAAAAGAAAAAACAAATTTGACCCAACAGGAGCAGCAGGATCCGATTCTTCCTCCGGATTCCTCTCCCTCTCCAGGGCTCCCCCAGGAAGGGTCAGCAGGGCTGACGTCTGGGAGACCCCGAGCCAGCAGCTGACACAGATCAGCTCTCACGGCTCAGACTACTTGAGCACAAACGAACATGAAACAAACAGAAATCAAATGAACATAAAACAAAACAGAAAATGGACAAACTCAACTCACATCACCAACAGAAAACAGGAACTAAATGAACTCAATTAGTCTAACAACTGAGACTAACCCTATCGAGCCAGTTAAAAGTGAGAAAACACAAAAAAGGAATAAAGCATGAAGAAAAAATTCATAAACCTTCACCGTAATAACAATCCAAGCAGATGAATCACAGTCTTATTTTAAAAAGGGAATAAAAATGAGAAAAAAAAAACTCAAAGTGAACAAAGGGAAACCCAATAATGGGATGAAAATATAAAGAACAACCACAAACAAGAGGAAAGCCAATGAAAAAAGTGAAGAAAATATCCAAATGGAAATGAAATAGCCTAGGAAAATCAATAAGAAAGGGAAAAAAGAATATGAATACTGGAGGAAATCAAAATAAATAAAATAGAAAAAAGAACAAAATAATCAAAACACAAAAAGAAAAAACAAATTGGACCAAAACAGCAGCAGCTTGAAGAACAAAAACACAACAAGAAAACAAACAGGCAGCTGTTCCCAGCCCCAGGTCCCCGGGACAGCGCTTCCTGGGCAAATGACAGAACCCAGGCCCAGCCAAGGCTTTGTGCAGGCAGCGGGCATGACGTCACAATGGTGCCTTCTGATGTCAGAGCAGGAAACCGCAGCAGGTGCTGCCCCACGCTGGTTTGCACAGGAACCTTTCCACTTGAGTAAGACAAAGACTGCACAATTCTTTCTCTGGTTGAAGAGAGTGACAATTATGCTTTCTGAAATTAAACCCTGTAGGATATTTCGAAACCTTTTCATTTCTAGTATTAGCATCTTTCATAATTTTGCCTTTTGCAGACTCAATGTATCCACTCCTTTCTCTTCAACCCCTGAATGATTGCCTCAAACCATGGTGCAGCGTCACTGGCATCGCGACACTACATCAAATGTTCTGTCACTCAAGTCAGTGGTGCTGTGACGGAGCTGTAAAGCCACGGCTCACGGGGCCTGCGTCCCGAACGAGTGTCTGTACATGTCCCAGCTGCTCCACTTTTTTTTTTAAAGGGGTTTCTTTATTTATTCGAAGGCAGATGGAGAAGGATAGAGAGAGGGAGACAGAGAAGGTTCCCGTGTTAGCACCACAAACTGTGCACAGCAGGAGCCACAGCAAATGTGACTGACCTGGGCCATCCCACAGGCTGCCAGTGTGCAACCTGGTGGGAAACCTTTCCCACAGACGCTGCAGGGGGGGCTCCTGCAGGTCCTGGTGTCCCGGATCTCGGGGGAGACCCCAGCACAGCCTCTGTCTGCCCTGAGGACTCCCCTATGGTCTCGTCCACTGCTGGGAGCTTCGCAGCCATAACCTCACTCACTCTGGCCCCAGCCTGGGAGGCAGGATGACCACCACCATTTCCCAGCGTGGGGAGTGGTCAGGTCCATACGGGATCAATATGGGACACCCAGGGAGGCAGGAGTCCCGGCCTGGGGTGGAGCCCATAGGCCAGGAAAGGGAAGACGGGATGAGCGACTACTGGGGGTTCCCTGTGGGAGGGGCAGGAAGGGCACAGGGAGTGTCAGGTGCCTCCGGCCTGGCTGCTCCTGGGTCCCCCTGAGGACAGAGAAGTGGAGAGTGAGCCCCAAATTCAGTTCAAGGCCTCCCCCAGGGGAGGGACAGAGAGGCACAGAGCAGGGGCCAAGAAGGTCAGCTCAGCAGTGCCTGCTCCCTCCTGGGCCTGCACTCACCACTGCTCAACATCACCTCTCCAGGTTTCCAGCAGGGGGCGCTCACCGCAGGCAGCCAGTTCACAGGGCAACCCAGGGCCTGGTGCCCTGCCTCCTTGAGCCCTGGGCCCTGCATTCGGGCTGCCCCTGCCTTGGGCCTGACATCAGGGCTGGACATGGGTGGAGACACGGTGCCAGATGTGAGGACAGAACCCTGACCCAGGGCCCCACGTCCCTCGCCCGAGTCCCTTTACCACTGGAAGGCCCCACTCTGCCCCTGATGGCCAGTGAGCGTCTGCCACCCTCCTGACAGGGACAGCCCAGGGCTCTAATCTCCCCCAACCACAGACGCCGTGCAGTGTCCTCCCTTACACACGCCCACTCTGAAGTTCTAACTCGCTGGGTGCAAAGGACCAGGGGCAGAGGTGGCAGCAGATCCCTCCCTGGTGGCCTGGTCCATGTCCAGGGCTGTGACCACTGTTGGCCCTGTTCTTCCCCCTGCTCCACCCTCCTGGTGGGCGCTCACGCCGGGCAGATGTGGCTCTGCCTCTTGGGATGAGGTCACTGCCGAGGGCAGGCGAGTCCTGGCTTCTGCGGTCACCCTGTGGTAGGTCAGCTGCTCAGCGTCTGTCCCCACAGGCTGTCACAGGATGGTGACCCTGATGACAGGCGATGGTGTCCCTGCAGGCGCACCTGCTGTGGGTTCCGTCCCTGACTCTGACTTGTTCTGCCAACTGCAGAGCTATAACTGGCCATTGGCTATTGAGGGCTCAAGAGCAGTGGGGCCATGGTGGGGGCCATGCAGCCTTGCTGCCTGCCTGGGCTGAGCTCTGCCTTTGGAGTGAGCTTTGAGCAGTGACAGGTGTGCACAGAGCTGCCCTGGGGGCTCCGTGGTGAGCAGCAGTAAGTGCTCCACCCACAACCACTGCTCTTCTGCCCCTGGAGGGCGCTGTGCAGCACCGGGTCTGTCTGCCTTGTCCTCCTCATGGGCCAAGGCCTGGGGGGTCTGGGCCATGCCCCCACACCACAGCCACAGGTCTGCCTCAGTGCTGGTGGGCCAACCCCAACCCGCAGGAGCGGTGGAGGTGCTGCCAGCGCCTCCTCACTGATGGACAGGGCCGTGTCGCTGCAGGGGCCGGCATCGCTGTAGACTGCAGGATCCGACGCTGGCAGGGCCGGCTCGGGGTCCCGGCGCTTCCTGAAGGCCGTGAATACGATGGTGGGGGCCTTCTGGGAAATGGGCGCCACATCCAAGAAACAGAGAAACCCACAGGAAAGTGACAGCCCCGTGCTCCCTGCTGGATTCCCCAGAGTCCTCAGAGGCACTGTGACACAGGATGCTGGGCTCCCCGACCTCCTGGTCACAGACGCCTCGGACCCAGGTGTGCCCTGCTCTGAGCAGTTCCCTGCACACACATGCAGGTGCTGCCAGAGCCCGAGGCCGCCCCTCTGGAGATGAGGACCCACTGGGATGGGGTCCTTGAGTCAGCCAGGGCGGTGCTGTGTCTGCTCCCACCCTGGTGAGCTGCAGCCTGCTAGGGTGAGACCGCACTCCCACGGCCAGAGCCAGAGCCCACAGGGCCCCCAGGAAGCCCCTACTCCCTCCCTCTCTCTGCTGCCCATGGCCCTGGCCCCTCCTGCCAGCCCTGGGCGGAGGAGTCACAGGCACCCGGGCCACCGGCCCTGCCAAGAGCACATTCTGGGGCCTTCCCTTGGGTTGACCCTGCAACTTGAACCCAGCAGGCACCTGTTCTGCTGGACCTCCCCAAGTCCACGTGTGGGTGTCCATGTGGACAGGGCTGTGTCAAGGCAGGAACAACCTGGGGGCCTAATCAGAGGTCCTGCATCCCCGCCCCTAGAGGACACCAGCCCCAGGCCTGCTCCTAGCTGTGCCCAAACTCACACCCATGAAACCCCCCACACTAAACAAGGCCCAAGCTCATCGTTTCCTGGGACCCAGGCGAGTCAATATAAAATATGCCTGATATTTCACCCCTGCTTCTGTTTGGGGCAATGCGCAGAACTCCATGGCTTCCAGCCAGCAGGTGGTTCTAATCCTGGGGCGAATGTGGGAGGAGCCACTTGCTACCACGCCCCCTTAGTGTGCAGCAGTTCAGTGGACGCCTGTGCAAGGGGCAGCTCCCGGGTCTCCGTCCACCCAGACACGTGGGCCCTCTTGGTTCTCACAGTCCACAGCAAGGATCCACAGAGGCTCTGAGGACGCCTGACTGAGGTCCTTGTCCCCCACCCACCTGGGAGCTTCCAGAACCAACAGAAACCCCAGCCCCGCCTCACTGGCACATGTGTGCCCAGCAAGGTCCCCAGAGGATTCAGAATCCGGTCCAGCCATGGTCCCCTGGGAGCCAAACACATGGCGCAAGAGAGCGGTGCAGCGGAAGGGGTCTGTCAGGGGGAGGGGCTCACCTGTGACAGTGGCGGCCAAGTCCCAGGGGCGGCCGTCTGCCCATAGGAAACAGGAGAGCTGGGAGCGGGCACAGACCAAGACCGCAGGACACAGTACCAGGACCCAGGAACCGCGGGTTCTTCTTGGTCTCGGGCTGCAGCCGGGAGTCCCAGGCCACGGGTGCGAGTTGCAGAGTGGAAAAGCCACAGCACCGGGGGCTCTGAGCCCTGAGGGGGAGCACTGAGACGCGCAGGCTCCATGAGAGCCCCGAGCTGCCCCTGCCCTGCGGCCCTGTTCTCTCCGAGTTCTGGGCGGGCTGGGTGGTGCTGCCCACGGCCAGGG